AATAATAATAATAATAATAATAATAATAATAATAATAATAATAATAATAATAATAATAAAATAGTGCTACCCTATCTTTGTAGCATTTACCAGCCTAAAAAGAAAAACCTTGATAAATGTGCCTGAAACAACAGAACAGCCAAGGACTTCTGCACTGACCTTGCTCTTGTATGGTTAAAGAGGAAGGAGAGGGAGGCACCCAATCCATAAACACCACCCGCAGGACCTGCGTCTTGCCTGGGTTCAGTCTGTTATCCCTCATCAGTATCAAATTCCAAGAGTATGAGTGAAACAGCTTGTTTGTTTCATTAAAGCAGGTATCTTTTTAAAGGGTCTAAAAACAGTTTTAATCCCAACCTCCCTTAACAATCTTTCCAAATGATTAGCTACCCTGATGCAAAGGAGGAGGAGAACCTGGTAAGAGGTGTTGCTCTTTTGCCTTACTGCAGCATGGTAGCTAATTGCCTTGAAAGATTGTTAGCGAAGGTCTTTTACTGTCAAGTTTTATTTGGAAGCTCAACCTGTTAAGTTTTATGAGCCAATTCTGTTCGACTGGGATCGGTCATCTTTTTCTATGATGCTCCAAGAAAGCAGAAAGGTTTTCACAATGAGCCTACGGTAGTTTTAGAGATGGGGGTCACTCATTTACCCCATTCCATTTTATTTCTGTCTTGCCTTTCTAGCGATTCAGGGAGCCCAATTAATTTACTAACAATTAGTTAACTAACAGACTAACAACGAAAAGTACAGTAAATTCTAATACTGAAAAAGTATATTTATATAATCAAACATTTATTTTTATATCTTCTAAAAGACCACAACACTTTTTTAAAAAAACACAAGAGAAAGCGGTAGAGCATACAATACTCTGCATGAAAACTCCTTCCTCAGCTGTCTGATTCAGTAGCTGAAAGCCTAAAAGAGAAAGGACTTTGGCTGCTGACCGAATGACAGGACAGAGGCGGCCAGCCTGGGTTATATCACAGTTTGAACTTCCGCTCACAGTTCTACACTCTAGATTTTCTGTTTGTTTGTTTTTGCTTTATTTGCAACTAACGGGAAGGATATTATTTAGTTGTTCCCAGTTCCCACAGGCATAATTTATTTCTTTAATAAAGAAAGGGGTCCAGTGCAACTTAATACCTGCAGCTCACTAAATGCTCAGGTATCTTTCACCAAGCCACTACATAAGAGGAACATCATTATACTTATTGGCTTAATTGAAAGAGTCACATACATATATGAATAGTCTTGTTTCTTGGGTCTTTTTATTTTAATAGCATCATTTCATGTGTGTGTCATCTCAGGCCGTGTTATTTCAACAGTGTTTATATTTGTAGCTCATGAAGGACACTCTGAAATACATCAGGACATCATATTGTGTAAATGCATACTCCTTCCACCACTGGCGTACTTGACCTCCCCCCTTTTTTTCTTCTGGTGCAGAGAACAGAGAGCTGAAAAGCGTGCAGATCCCTCGTTTCTCAGCTGCTCCTAGTAGAGACGGGCACTTACTGTAGTTCGGGTTCACCAGCGTTGTGTCGGCATCCTGGATTCCACACCCCGCCTCCTCCTGCAGGCACTCCGCCAGAGGGGGAGGCAGGCCAGGCCACCGCACTGCTTCTGATGGGGTACCTGCGGGAGGAGGCAGGGTGTGGAATCTGGGGTGCCTGTGCAACACCCATGGGCCTGATCTGCCAAACCATATTAAGTGCCCATCTCTAACTTCTAGTGTCAATCAACTGGACAGGTGGAGGGAGGAGTTAAATCAGCTAAGGAGGAGCACAGGGGCATGACGCCACAGGTTGTCCATAGGTGCTTTACCAAATCTGCCCGGAAGTTTTCAAATGCTGCTCTACAAGCATAACGGCCAGATGTTGTTGTTGTACTGATTTTCTAAGCTATCACTCAAAATATAGGCCCTAGGCCACAAAGATGGGAATACTAATTTTTAAGACTACCATTTCTAGAATGTCCCAGGCAGCATGATTTTAAAAAGCAGCTTTCCCCATCCTTGCATACTATACAAAGCTTCAGGCAAAAGATAATGGAAACCCAGCAGTGACAAACATTGTCAAATTTAAGTAGCAGTTTCACAAAACTCCTGAGATAGGGCATAGTAGTCTGGTGTACACCTTCTGGGGCAGGGGTGGGGGTGGAACTAGTACCAAAAATCTAAGTTATTTTAGTAGATGAGACCAAGATCTATTCAGTTCTATATTCGAGGATTTCCTCTGAATTCTTAAAGCTCAAAGTGCTTTCCAAACCTTAACTGTATGACTATGATTTACATGGAACCTTTGTTGTTGTTGGGAGAACAGCAACCATGAGGAAATTTGAACAACCAGTGATAAGACAGTGGCATTTCAGGAACTAAATCCTCGTCCCACCAGGTTCATGTGTGTTGTATCCCCAGCCTTATACAAATATTGCCTTTTTGAGCATCAGTTTTTGTGTAGACATTTTACCATCACTTACGGAATTATGAATGCCTCTGTTCTGCATCAGGGGGCAGAAAAGTGGATCTCCCAGTTGTCTTTGGGACTACTCACAATTCCCCACTGTTATCCATAGAGGATGGGGCTGACGGGATGTTGCAGACCAAATCTCTCCCCTGCCCAAATCTATAAATGACCAGGACTGTGAATATGTCAACTCAGTTCACAAGAAAGGAGAGAGGCTTTTGTAAGGCTCATCCCAGGGAGGACAGATTTCCGAATACCTTGAATCCCACAGGCCAGTGAACAAGGTACAGATCCAAGTAATCCAGTTTGAGAGCAGCAAGTGTTGCTTTACAAGCACCCTTCACCAAGGCTTTCTCATGGAAAGTGCACCAAAGCTGCAAAAGAGAAGAGAGATTAACGTTCTATTTTACATCTACTACACAATGGCTCCCCTTCCACCCTGGAAGGAATGGCTATCACATAAACTAATGTGGTTTGAAATTTCCTCTTCCATTAAATCATTAAAAGCTACAGGAACCCTGGCCTCAACTTCGATCTACAGCATATAGCAGGCCAGCATCTCATGGCAGGCTCTTTGACAGCAACAGGAGATTTTACATTTTATCTTTGATGTATTAAGGAATCAACAAGGTGAAAATATTACACTGCCATAAGGAGAAGGGTGCCAATCACATCCCATACCAATTTCTCGTACCATCACCACAACTGCTTATGCACTTCTTGAGCTACATCTAAAGGCTTTCAATGCAACCTAACTCAGAGACGTGCAGCCGTAATGGGTTTGGACTGACTCAAGAAAGGAAGCGAGAGCCGAAAGGCCTGTTAACAACAGAACATTTTGGAGGCCATTCATTCATACAGTTGCCATAGGTCAGATGCAACTAGACAGCACATAATAATAACAACAACAGATTTGGAGCCATGCCACTGATTTTAGCAATCTCCTAGCAGAAGGATTGGCTAGCACAGAGCTCAGCTGGCCAAAAAGCCAACAAAGGGGCAAAGAACAGACAAGGGGATGGAGAAGCTGAATTACACCAGATCCAAACCTTTTTGTGTGTAGTGGCACAGCAGTCATGCTAGCACAATGAGAGTAGTCCTAACTCATTTCCAATACACCTACTAGACTGGGAGTGGTTGGAATTACATAGGTCTTGCAAGAAACCACTTTGAAGAAATATAAATACCTTACTAACAACGAAAAGATCCTCTCGCTTTACAACTCCGGACTTGATCTTCTCTTGGATACCGCGGCCAACCTCTTCTTCGTTTTGGTACACATATGCACAATCTAAATGGCGATATCCCACATCAATGGCCTTTTTCACAGCTTCTGCTACTTTTCCTGGTGGAGACTGAATCAAATGTTTTGTTTTATTAACTTCTCGTACTCCCATGCTTTTCCTGCAAGCTTTGTTTATAATCTTACACAGGACAACATTGACCACACTGACTTTTACAGATGATGTTCCAAATTCATAGGAACCAGTGTTTGCTGCTGTCGTCGTGGGTCAGATCCTACATGGAGTAAGCCTATGGGTTTACTGTGTCATGCAGCATTCTGTCTGCAAAGCTTTTGCACAGGGAAATGTTATAACTGCCGCTTGCTCTCTCGCAAACAGAAATAATGTTGAGCAAGGAAACTCTATGAATCAGGATCTGTGCCAGGGATGGATAAATTGATTTAAATCACTTTTTTTACATTTAAAATTGAATATTTTAATGATTTAACTAAAAATAAAAAATTTTAAATTAAAATTGTGATTTAAATCAGAATCATGTGGCCTCTAGATCAGGGGTCCCCAACCCGACAGCGGTCCGCAGCCCAGGCAAGACAGCACAACACGCCCCTGCCAGCACAACACACACCCTTGCGAGCGCGACATGCCCCCGCGCACATGAGCGCGACATGCCCCCTGTGGTTGGGAACCACTGCTCTAGATCATTTCCTTATGAATGAGGTGCAGGATGGAATTTCAAGCTCAAAAAATTCCTTGTGGCCACTTCTAGCTTTGCAGCCCTCAGCAAGATAGTTCCTGTATCTTATCCTGTATCTTATCCAGTTTTGGGCAACACAGCCCACAAATGGTTTGTTTGGCAATCTGAGTGAACACCGGATCCTGGCTTATTGCATCTTTTTAAAGACAGGACTGCAAGTCAGACTACCTTGGTTTAGCTTCTCAGGATAGGAAGGCCCAGGAAATTGTTGAAAGAATTAGGGGGAAAAAACCACCCTATTTTCTTCTGGGCCTTCACAGCTTTATCCTGGCATCTTTCCCTCTCAAGTACAAAGACAGCACAGAGAACATAATAAAGAAAAATGTTAAGATATCATGCGCTTGCTCCAATTACGAATCTGGAACAGTCTTTCTACCCCACAGGGCATCTGGTTAATGCGGAAAAAGAAAACCCTCTGTAAATAAATTGGATTAAGGATGTCTAGACACCATTAACATTTGGGCTAAAGATTGCTATCTTTATTAGATAGAATTAAAGAAAAGGAAATCTTCTTGGGGACAGGAGATCCTTACAGCATGAGATTTCTACATAACACACTCATGGTCAGCTGCTTCAGGCAAGAAATGTTATATTGCATCCTGATGAAAATGGAAAGCCTAAGACAGCCAAATTATTTTAACACATAGAGCAGAAAATCCCAAACATTCCCTTTCCTTCCAACAAAAACAAGTATGACACCTTTCCATGACACAGAAAAGCAGGCTGCCTAAGGCTGGCCCTCTTACTCACTGGCGATCACTCACCATAGTCTTCCCGGTGCAGTTTCAAGGAACAGAGAAGATACAAGATGGAGGCACGGGTGGTCCCGAGACCAAAACCAATTACTGTATTGTATTTCTTGTTTAGAAACAGCACCCCTTCTAGCAGATGGCAAGTAGGAACAGCTCTGCTGCCCTTCTGTATTTGCTTCCAGCCAAATTCCCACTCCTCCCCTCCTTAGCAAATAAAATCATGGGTGGAAGGAGGAAAAAAATAGAAATATGCTGGTACCTGCACAGTAGCAACCTATATTTGGCTATAGTCAACTGATTGGTCAAGTAGCCAGATCTGAATAGTGTGCTAGCATTCTAGACAGCTCAGTGATTTAGGTACAGGATGGGAGCTTGACCCCCCCACTGTGCGTCCTCGACAGAGGCTGAACTTGACGATCCATAGGGTCCCTCCCAACTCTGCAGTTCTAAGATTATTAGTAAAGGTAAAGGTTCTCCTTTGACATTTAGCCCAGTTGCGTCCGACTCTAAGGCACGGTGCCCAACCCCGTCTCCAAGCCGTAGAGCCAGCATTTGTCTGAAGACAGTTTCCGTGGTCACGTGGCCAGCGCAACTAGACACGGAACGCCGTTACCTTCCCACCGTGGTGGTGCCTATTTATCTACTCGCATTTTATATGCTTTCAAACTGCTAGGTTGGCAGGAGCTGGGACAAACAACGGGAGCTCACTCTGTCGCGTGGATTCGATCTTACGACGGCTGGTCTTCTGACCTTGCAGCACAGAGGCTTCTGCGGTTCAACCCACAGCGCCACCACGTCTCCCTTCTAAGATTATTATATTACATTATATTTTTACCTGGGCCAGAGTTCTCTTTTACTTGGGCCAGAGTCCTCTATATGCACAACAATCCATTGTGCAAGTGACTCCACTTTTTCAAAGCCTACACAAGGAGGTATTGTGTAGCCTCTTTGTGCCGGCATCAGCTCCCTTGGTTTTAACAGGACAATCTCCTGGCCTGTATGCCCCCAAAACAGAGATTGCAGATTACAGTGCGGGTGTAACATTTCGCTCCGCCTACACTGCAACAGGATTCTTGCCCTGCAGCTCTACAGGCACACACACACATCACCAGAGTAGGGATGGCTGCACATCTATTAGTGTATGTACAGTATTTGCATAGTAAGACAATAGTACTTTGGACACAACGTCCCACACTCCTCCAGAAGGTTGACTATCACCCCTCCATAACTGATAATAATAACCAATATTTTAATAATGTTGGTACTCAAGAGTGCACTGCCTTATCAGTGTGTGTAAAATTACCACCTAAGGTGGATCCAGATTATTAAGTGTATGTACTCTTTAGATAAGACAGAGAGAAGCTTGCCAAAGGCACACACGACATTCATAGTGAGAGCAAGACTTATTAGTTTGAAGAAGTGGAGGAATCATCATTCTAAACAGCACCATTTTTCTTCTGCAGGTGTTTCTCACTGGTTCTTTGTTCTTTCCACAGAAAACAAAAATGAAGCGTCCTGCAGCGCCACAGGGCTCCCTTTTGCCCTGGGGAAGCCTTTGAGAGCCTCAAGACCCAGAGAGGGGAAGGCATCACTGTTGGTCCTGATCCGGTATGGGGGCCACTGCTGGTGACTGGAAAGCCCAACAATGACTTTTGACTATTAACCCCCTCTCCTAGTCCTGAGGCTCCCAAAAGCTTCTCCGGGTCAAAAAGGAACACTAAAGAGTCTCAAAACCTGAAAGAGAAGGGATAGGACCTTTTGATTAATTTAAATTCAATAATATCAGCACCAGATCCAGTTTGCTGTGTGTAACTTTCCTCCAACAGAATTTTTGCCCAATATGTTTTGACTGGTAGCAACTACAGGCCATCCAGCTGGCAGTACCACTCGTCTCCTTCACCAAACCTAGAGTTTTCCATGATTCAAAACCCCACAGACTGAAATTTAGACCTTGACCAGTCAGTTACGATTTTATCCCATACTAAGATTTCTTTCTTTTAAACACAGCATAACAAAGCTGCAAAGGACACTATAAAGAAAATGACCTCAAACCAATGAAAGGAAGAAGCCATGCTGCTCCATCTGCCAAAACTCTTTTCCTTATTTGAAGAAAAAAGTTGCCACTTCTCTTCGCAAAATCTAATTTTAGAAAAAAAATGGCAAAACGAAAATCAAATGTGGAAGTTATCGCCTCCCCCTTCCTTTGAGGCCCTCATTTTATGTTTGGCCAAGCAAAGCACCACCTTGCATGCAGAAGTCACAAAAATCAACATTTCCACATACCCTTCATGTGGAATAAGATTTAAGGAGGCCCAAAGAATATTATGTAAACATTTAAAAGTTTTCCACTGAACTTTCACGAAGCACTGCCCGCTGATGACTCACTTCTTCGGCCCATAGTTTAACACAATTTCTTCCTCACGCTTACCACTTGTAAATGGGTTACCTAACAAAATAATGTAGTTTGGAGAGTTTCTGTTTATCGTTCCATAATACTCAAAATACAATGGCCTCTCTGCAGTACCCAGTACATATTACATTCCACTTCATCTACCTCTCATGTCAACATTACAACCACTGAGCATACTATGTAGCTAAAAAGGACTTTTCATTTGGGTTTTTTTCATGTATTGTCTCCCCCTCCCCCCGCAAATATCTGTAGTTCTGTAAACTTTAGGGTTCTCATCGTCTGTTGATACCTCCCTTTTGTATGTAGAAAATACATTCCTATGAATATTAGAGGGATGACAGCATTTTTTTATATTTCTATGTAGAGGGGGAGAAATGCTTCCATTTTACAGGATCAAGCTCTTTTAAAAATAAAATAAAATAAAAAGGTGGTTGGTTGATAGAGGAATTGTTTACTCTGAAACGTGAATGACTGTTAGACCCCTTTGACACTTTTTGTAAGTCCCATATTTATGGACACTGCTGAGAATAGTTAGGTACACAGGGAGACATTTCTCTTCAAAATTTTGAGGGGAACCGGGAGGGAGGGGGACAATACTGCATAATATTTTAAAGTCAAATTTCTATTTAACCCTGATCCACTTTTTAAAATTCCCCTAAGCCTTTTTCCTATTCTGCCAACACCCAAAATCCACAAGCCAAATCCTAAAAAAAATGTATTAGTAAGGCTCAGAAGTCAGAACAGACTCCACTGCCTTTCAAATATACTATTTTTCCTTAAGATACAAAGTCATAGTGAAACCATTCCCAAAATAAAAGGAATTTCCTTTCCACTGAAAGCAATCCATCAAACACTGTGGGATTAATTAATATTCACAAGAACAGATTCCAGCATTGGTAACTTTTATTTTCCCTTTAGGACTCTCCTTTACTTTAAAGATGCTGTGAAGTGGCCGAAATTCAGGAGCCATATTGAGGTAAATGACAAACAAGTTTCATCTATAGAATTTCCCTTTCCTACACTACTGTTAGCTGGCTGGATAGTTCACTGAATTAGGTATCTGGCTGTGGAACTAAAGGTTGTGAGTTCAAATCCCCACTGTGCATCTCAGAAGAACTAATGTTCTGTCTGACCTTTAACCTCGCTATACGGGGCACCACTGTATAATTTCAGTCCTAAACATGAGGCTTGGAGAAGCTTCTGCACCTTAAGCTACAGGGTGGGAAACCCTGAACCCTGCCAAATGTTTCTGGACTGCAATTCCTATCAGCCCCAGCTTGCAAAACCAAGGGCGTCCGATTTTCAAAACTGTATTATTAGACATCACCTTGCCGACAAAGGTCCACATAGTCAAAGCTATGGTTTTTCCAGGAGCGATGTATGGAAGTGAGAGCTGGACCATAAAGAAGGCTGACTGCCGAAGAATTGATGCTTTTGAATTGTGGTGCTGGAGGAGGCTCTTGAGAGTCCCCTGGACTGCAAGGAGGACAAAGCGATCCATTTTGAAGGAAATCAACCCTGAGTGCTCACTGAAAGGACAGATCATGAAGTTGAGGAGCCAATACTTTGGCCATCTCATGAGAAGAGAAGACTCCCTGGAAAAAACCCTGATTTTGGAAAAGTGTGAAGGCAAGAGGAGAAGGGGACGACAGAGGATGAGGTGGTTGGACAGGGTCACCGAAGCTGCCAACATGAATTTAATCCAACTCCGGGAGGCAGTGGAAGACAGGAGGGCCTGGCGTGCTCTGGTCCATGGGGTCACGAAGAGTCGGACACAACGACTAAACAACAACGAATTATTAGAAGAGGAAAGCAGTTTATAGATCGCCTTCGGGATCCGTCAGGGGCGACGCCTCACCACAAAATGTCCCGTTGAGTGGACCCCCGGGGAAAGGTCCCGAATGACGTTTGAAAGTGAAGCTTCTTTCGAACCCTGACCCGCCTTTTCCCTCTCCTTCCGCCTTCTTTCCTCCTCTTCTGCCAACGCTAAAATACATCCCGCCAAGAAAACCAGATGGCATCCAAACGGTGCCACTTGCCTAATCTCTGACGAGAGCCCTAAACATGGGGCTTCAAAAAAAAAAAGGTGTCAGAAGGGCAGAGGAGAGAATCCGCTCCCTCTCTGCCCACCGCCTGGGCAAAAGCACCATCTACAAAATCTTCGGAGCGCGCCCGATTGAGACCCCCCCACCCCGCCCGCAAGAGCGCTGTGGAAATAAAATGAATGGCGAGAGAGCTTAAACTGGGATGGCGGGAGCCCCGCTAGGAGATGATTTCATGCAGAGAAAGAGGGGTGGGGGGGGGAAGAGAAGGGCGTTGCGGCCGCTGTTCTGCGGAGGTGGCAAAAAGGCAGGGGAAAAAATGGAGCGCGCGCGGCCAGACCAAAACCGGAGGCTGGAGAGGATGGCCGGATGAACGGACCGCACCGGCTGCCCCGACGCCTACCTTCCACGTGCCCAGCCCCAGGATGGGCATCTGCGCCTTCGTGTAGAGCTCCACGTACTTGGCCATGGTTATCCCCGAGTCCCCGAGCCACGCCAACACCCGGGCCGGCTGCCCCCCCCTCGCCCGTAAGCGCCTTTAATAGGCTCGGGCCACGCCTCGGTCGAGACCGCCGAGAAGGGGAGGAGAGGAAGAGGAGGAGCGGCGGCGGCGGGAGACCCGCTCTTTCTTGGTCGTGGCTTTGCAGGCGAGGCCCGGCAAAAGGTGAGGCGAGGGCGTTGCAACGCGGCGCTCTTTTGCTGGCAGGCTCAGTGGGGTGGACGCTTCCCGCAAGCGCGCAGAGAACGCGCAAGCTTGGAGAGCATCGCGCGGGGCGTTACAGAAAGGGGAGCTTTGCCTCAGATCTGGGCGGATGTCTATAGAGAGGATTTGGCTCCTCTCGCTCCTATACCCGGTGTTATGAAAGGGAGCAAAACCGCACCAGGGGGCTCCAGGCTTTCTTATTGGGGACAGAGTCTGAAACCTGCACCCCTGACTTAAGAGGGCAGCCTTATATTGTAATACGCTTTTAAACAGGGCAGATGTAAGTTTAGGAGCACCTGGTTTTTTTTTTTCTGCAACGGACACACAGACCTCTGGTAGCCAGCCTAATGAGGACCCCCTACTTCGAAAGCTAGGGCAGATGTAAGTTTAGGAGCACCTGGTGTTTTTTTTCTGCAACGGACACACAAGACCTCTGGTAGTCAGCCTGATGAGGACCCCCGAAAGCTAGCTGATTTTTTAGGTTTTTTTAAAAAAAGTTTTTTGCATTTTTCTCAGTTGTCAAATAAAGGTCTCATACACCCTTGCCTTTACAAGGACCACTGGGCTTTTTTGTTTCTTTATTTCTTTTTCTGTCAGTGCTGTTGTCAAGATCTGGAACAGATGGCACAAGGGAGATTAAAAAGAGTGTAGGGCGTTTTGCATTCAGAGCATCTCATCTATAACAGGCCCACTCTGACTTAATATAGGTTTGGCATAGCTGTTAACATACAGTAGTTATTTTTATTGCTGTAAGCCACCCAGAGTGGCCTCTGGACAGATGAGTGGTATAGAAGTCAAATAAGTAAGCAAGCAAGCAAGTGGCTTGAACATACATTTGCTATCCTTGAGACAAAATATCTTACAATACAACAAATGTTTATTTAAATGAGAAATTAGACAGGCTACCTTTTGGGCCGCAGCCCCCATCGAATCTCCCAGCCAGCATGATCACGCTGGCATAGACACTCTGAGAACTGAACTCGGGACCAAAAAAACTACAAAACTTTTCCAAGTTCAGATTTAACTAGCCCCAAAGTAGCAGTGACCAGTGGCATATTAGATCAGCTTCCTGGTTGCCCATAATCCTGTTGACATCAGTGCAGCAACAGGAGAGAATGTTCCCATTCATTATTCTGTCCAGCAGTAGTAGAGAATAAACAAATGTTTCTTTTTGGAGACTTACATGATGGGCAGCCACAAATATTTCTGTGGTTACAGAAATTTTATAAACTAGGGTATAAATTTTATAAAATAGGGTATAAACAGAAAAGCTTTTCTATTTCACATAATATGCTGAGTACACTGGGAGAACTTCTGGATGTTATAAAATAGGGTATAAACATTATAGTTCCTCAGTTTGATTTATCTGCTTAAACAAAGGCTGATAAGATAACATTTCCATTTCCAATTACCGTAGTTTTATGCCAGTCACATTTCATTTATGTGTTGATTTCATATCTGTGAATACTTTAATTAAAATATTATTGGTTAAAATTAAGTAATTGAAGCATGTAATTCAATTTTGGAGCTCCCAGTGTTAGCTAATTATTATCAGTGATACAGTTTCTTCTGTTTGCCAGATGATTGTGGCTTAAACCCACTGTTGGCATGAAGCAATTTCCTGGCATGCAAATCAGCCAAGACAACCAGAGGGCTGAGACCCCATCCATTAAGAATAAAGAAATAAACATAAAACCCTCTATCACTGATGCATTTTTTTAGTTTAAACTTGTCCAGAGGAGTATGAGCTTTAAAAATAGACCAAAGCAGCAGCAATCTATTCTCTTTCCCAAAGATGATGATATTCTCCATCATGGAACAAATCACTACCTACCTTCTTTTCTACCATTATTCCTAGAGTCATTGCACTTTAACCGGTTGTGAAAATAAGCTGCGGTTGTCTCCTTGCCAAAGTGCAAAACATTTACTCTATAATAGACTTCCCTACCTTGCTGTGGTCTCCTGATCTCTAAATATTATTATTGTATATCATTTTTATTTGTGGACACACATGTCCTCCAGGAAATCCAAATCATCATTACGTAACAAGTCATACACATTTCATACTGCAGGCACCACCCATCCCCAATATAGCCAATTTAAGCGTCCCTTTGATTTTGGTACAAGAGACTACAGCACAGATCTTATTTTCCCACTAAAATAAATGGTGCTGGTTCTTGCTTCTCAGAGTGGTTCCCCCTCTGCCACAGTGCTGCCCTCTCCCTGTCCTGCCTAGAGGGAGAGGAGAAAGCAAACAAGGGAGGAGGAGACTGCATGCATGCTTGAAGACAACAGATAGCAGCAATAGAACAGCAGGGAAGATGTGCAGGAAAACCTAAAAGTAATATGAACCCCAAGCAGATGTCTACGGTGGAGACCCTTGATGCCAGTCCTTCTCTTCAACATGAAGCAGCATCTTTAGCCTGAGTTCCATGAATTTCCCACCAGTGAAAAGATCTCCAACTGTTTTAAACACACACACACAAAAAGATAAGAAACACCTCCCCCTACCTCCCACCCTATGTGCTGAAAAAGTGCAAAGCAACTGATGCAGCAGTAGTTCTGTCTGTGGAATGGGCTCCCCATTCTTCGTGTGGATGCAAGGTAAAATTGCTGTTCTGGAAATGAAAGAATTCAAAAATCTTCAATTAAAAAAAACAAAGCTTTTGCCACTTCCAGACACAAGAAACACCGAAGAGCTTATAAATTGTTAGGGTGGCCTTTAAAAAAGTACTAAGGCAAATGAATAGAGACCAATAAATGCTGAAAGAAATAATAAAAGACAAAATGTATTTAAAAAACCCTAAGTAATGAAATCCAAAATGAAAAGTGCAGATTGTTACAGCTGGTCATTCAAGGGACACGGGGAAGCAAATGCAGAAAGAGTGTCTTGGCTGGAAAACACTGGGAGACTTGGGTGCAATACAACACCATTGTTTACACCTGCAGCATAGCCACGATGACACTGAGCCTTCCCCAGGAGAGGAAAGAGAAGATGAAATACAGTAAAAGCAACTTGAATGGGGTGAAGACTCCATTCAGGAACATAACAGTAGGGAAGTTAACCCTAAAGGGCAAAGCCTGTAAAATGAGTAGAAATATGATCAGGAGTACATGGACTCCTTAGTTTTTAGAACGACAGGACTATGAAATAGCTATTGAGAAGGGCCTTTAAAGTTCTAATCCACCAACGCAACAGAAGATTTTACACACTATGTTTTTCATGCCTATTTATTTTCATGCATTTCCAGTTTTCTATCTCTATCTTTCCCATCCTAAACTCACTATTTTAGAATGCCTTTCTAATCAAAATGTATTGTTACTGTACTTTCTTTTCTTCATTCCCCCCCTATACAACGTGCTTCTTTGCAAAGTTAGCTGATGGCATTCATGGTGTAAGCAACTGGGAGTTTTCCCAGTGGAAGGGAAAGGAGAAAGGATGAAACGTATTTACAGCAGATCTGAGAAAACAAAGTAGGAAATATCCACTATGCTGCACATTTCTCTTCATATCAGCAAAGTACTCCATGTGCAGAAGTACGAGAATCTAAATAGTGGAACAAACCAAACCAAGCAATGGGGGAACGGGGAATTGCCTTTCCATCAAAGAAGATACTGCTTTTTGGAACCTCTTGGCTCTCTTCTCTTGCCACATAGTGTCTGGAACCAGTCCAGGACATACTGTACACAGGAGCAAATTCTATTCTGCCATTAAAAGTTGGCGACAAACAGCAATTCAGTTCAAACCCTCAGCCACTGTTACTGTGATTACTATAGGCCCCCACTCTGGGCACTTTTAAAAGTCAATTAAAAACATGGCTATACATCCAGGCCTTCCCTCCAGCTAATACCTGATTTTTCTGTTTACTCTTCTTCTATTTATTTTCTACTCTATCCTTGTATTGTGTGTGTTATAGTATGATTTATGTAATTTTTGCTTATTTTATTGTTTATCCTATACTGGAAGCCGCCTAGAGTGGTCTATTAGGCCAGATAGGCAGGGTATAAATTAAATAAGTAAGTAAGTAAGTAAATAAATAAATAAATTGATTTCCACATTTCCTTGCATTAAAATATCAGGAGAAAGGTTTCCCTCCCATGGTTTAAAGCAGGCTTTCCTAACTTGGTACAGTACTTTCTAGATGCACTGAACCGCAAATGTCATGATCTAGTCCAGGCATGCTCAACCATTTTTTGGCCATGGGCATAAACACCAAATGAAAGAAATATAGGCTTGTATAAGGATTGCATAACGAGTCTTATAAGGTGTGAAGAATTGTTTCCAGTCCGTGGCTCCCTTCCAATGTGCCAGGGGTTGCCTAATCATTATAAGTAGATAACTAGCTGTGCTTTTGGGGTTATGGCACTTGAAACCACCCATCACATGAGAGTAGGCCAATTTGCCTTACAGAAGGAATGATATGTTGTCTCTGACTTATGGCAACCCAACAAATAAGCGTTCTCCAAAATGTCCCGTCCTCGATAGTCTTGTTCAACTCAAGCTCGAGCCCGTGGGCTCTTTTAGGGAGTCAGTGTCCCCCCATCTCATATTTGGTCTCTCTCTTGTCCTGCTACCTTCCACCTTTCCCAGCACTATGGTCTTGCCTTCTCATGATGAGCCCAAAGTAGGGCTGCCTCAGTTTCGACATGTTTGCCTCCAAAGATAGTTCACGGTTGATTGGCTCTAATTCACCTTTCTGGCAGTTCAGAGTGTCCAGGAAGCTCCCCCCCCCCAGCATATTTCAAATGAATCAGGTTCCCCCCCCTCAGCTTTCTTTACTCTTGACACTGAATTGTTGTTAGATGAACTGTATTTTTAACATATGGAAATATCACAGCAGGACAATTGGCCTCAGTAGACATCTGCCGCCTGCTTGTGTGCAATTCAAAGAACTGGAGTGGAGATGGCCTCAGAAGCCAGGTCATTCTCCGAGGCCCATTCCTCCTCCTCCCTCTCAAACTTTCACACTTATTTATAACTAATGTCAAGGTTGTTTAACCACATATCCAAGGCAGGAATCATACAGTGATCTCTGAGTT